CTCTAATGAGAGAGAAAATAAAAAAATAAATAATATATCAGTGCTAGGAAGAAAAACAGGAGGACCATTCATCCCTATTTGCCCTGAGCAGTACCCTTTTCACAGCTGTTGTCTTGATGGAAATACTAAAAACACACTCTGTTACTCTCAAATATTCTGGTGTAGAAGATATAATAACCTTAAAGATAATGGGCTAGAGATTGAGATATTGACCAAAAGGGGGAGCTATTTTTAAATACTTTGGTGAGAAAAGATCTCTCATTATAATGATAAATTTGAGGAGTGACTTGGAGAGAAGTGAGGGAGCAGGCAAATCCATATCTGTAGGAAGAGCTTTTCAGGCAGTGTATTTGTGGCAGTATGTAGCTGCCCCCTGAACAATGCAGAAGCTAGGGGTGACCATCCTCCTGCAGTTGAAATCCGCATATATAGTCGGCCCTCCATATCGGTTCCTCCATATAAATGGTTCCTCCATATCTGCAGTTGCTCCAAATCTGCAGTTCAGCATCCACAGGTTCAACCAACCACAGATCATGTACTGTAGTATTTACTATTGAAAAAAATCCATGTATAAGTGGACCTGCACAGCTCAAACCCACGTTGTTCAAGGGTCGAGTGTACTGTGTACGTGTGACAGAGTATGTTTATGTTTGTGTGTGTGTGTGTGTGTGTGTGTGTGTGTGTCTGTAGAAGAAAATCTACAAAGCTTCAGTGAGAAAGGAAGAAACTCCAGTTTCAATAGAGTAGTCTACAAAGTAGAAAACTTTTCATTCTCTTTCTTGCCTAAAAATGGTTCCCAGGAAATGGCTTTAGTCATAATTAATTTTAGTCTGGTAGATTCCAGAATTAAAACCATTTCCTTAAAGAGAATGCCTTCTCTATGAATGTAAAATAGCCCTATATGGCTTTTAATGTCATTGGCCCTTAATATCACTGTATATTTATATATCATAAATATATATTTCCCCAGAAGCTTGGTGATTCTGGGGTGCAGATATGGTATGAATGGAACTTGGCAGTTCCCCAATAATAAGAGTAATAATAATAACACACCACCAATAAAAATAAACAAGGGACATTTTAAGTGTTCACTGTGTGCCAGGGACTGTTATAAGCATTTTATCTGAGGTTACGCAAGTATCTGGCCATTTATCAGACTGCCCAATTAAGGGAGTCTTTGAATCTCCTTGAGCATTTGTACCATCTACCAAAGAAAAAATAGATCCTTACCTCTCAACATAAACAAAAATTAACTCAAAGTGGACCATTGGCCTAAATGTAAGGGATAAAACTATAAAATTTGTAGAAGAAAAGAGAAAATTTTTGTGACCTTGGGTAAGCCAAAGACTTCATCAAAAACATGATACATAAAAGAAAAAAATTGATAACCTGGACTTTATAACTTTTGTTCTTCAGAACACCCCATTAAAAGAATGAAAAAAATAAGCCACAGACTGGGAGAAAATATTTACTAATCATATATCTGATAAAGAACTTATATTTAGAATATTTTTAAAAACAAAAAAAAACTTACAATTCAGTAAGAAGACAAACTACCCAGTTCAAAAATGGGCAAAATATTTGCACAAGCGTTTTATAAGAAAAAGCTACATGAATAGCTCATCTGTACTTGGAAAGATGCTCAACATTATTAGTATTAAAATGCAAATTAAAAATACATTGAGAGGGCTTCCTTGGTGGCGCAGTGGTTGGGAGTCCGCCTGCCGATGCAGGGGACACGGGTTCGTGCCTAGGTCCGGGAGGATCCCGCATGCTGTGGAGCGGCTGGGCCCGTGAGCCATGGCCACTGAGCCTGCGCGTCTGGAGCCTGTGCTCCGCAATGGGAGAGGCCACAACAGTGAGAGGCCCGCGTACCGCAAAACAAAAACAAAAACAAAAACAAATAAACAAGCAAAAAAATACATTGAGATACCACTACACAGCTATATATTCCAAAAAGACTAAAATATCAAGTCTTGGGGATGATATGGAAAAATCTTCATACGCTGCTGGTGGTAATGTAAAATGGTACAGTAACTTTAGAAAACAGGCTGACAGTTTCTTAAAATGTTAACCATATACTTAGGATACAACCCAGCATGTATCCATATACTCATAGCAACATTGCTCATAATAGCCAAAAACTTGAAACAATCCAAATGTTCATCAAATGGTGAATGGAAGGGGAAAAAAATTTCCATACAAGATGAATATTATTCATAAATAAAAAGGAATGAACTACTAATATGTAGAACAACATGGATAAACCTCAAAAACATTATTCCAAGTAAAAGAAGCCAGGCACAAAGGACTAAATGTTATAAGAACCCATTTATATAAAATTTCTAGAAAAGAAAAATATACAAAGATAGAAAATAGATCAGTGGTTGTGGGGACTGGAAGTGGGCATAGAGACTGAGTACAAGCAGGCGTCAGAACTTTTGGGGTGATGGAAACATGCTAAATTGGATTGTGATGATGGCTCACAACTATATATATTTTCTAGAAATCACTTAACTACAGTTACAATGGGTAAATTTTGTGATATGTAAGCTATACCTCACTAAAGCTATTAAAGTAAGGAAAGGAAAGATGATACTACCTTTCCTACAAGAACAGTATTTCAGGGTCATCACATTGCTGATAAGGAAAATATCTGTTAGAGAAGAATTCCAGCTAACACATATAGAAAAAATTAACAGAAAAATCACATTTGGTCACCCCTAATGAAAAGACGGGTCTCAAGGAATGCTGAAGCTGTTCGATGAAAGGCGGTAGAGGAGGTTTATCATGGAGGAATCAGGCTGATGCTGCCTGGAGGCAAAAGATAAATCTTAATATCACTAAACTTAAGACAATCAGACATTATATGCCACTTGATGCGATGCAATAATAAGTACAGAGCACCAATTATGAAGGATTCTTGCCAAAAAAACAAAATAAGCCTGAATCGAACCAAACCTTTAGGTCTAATTTTCAGTTTACATAATATAAGTGATGAATAAGCTAAACAACACTTTGAGGAAGCAGCAGCCAAATCCAAACTGTAGGACATTCTAAAGGACCTGATTTTTCTAACAAATTCACGGCATTAGAAAGAAAAAAAGTGAGGGACACTACTACAGAAAAAAATAAACTTAAGAGCTAAAACAGCCATATACATATGTGAACCACACCTTGATGGGATCCTGATTTTTAACAAACCAACTGTATAAAGACATCTTGGTGGCAATTGGAGAAACCTGCATAATGACTAAGTATTCGATGCTATTAAGGAATTATTATTAATTTTGTTAGGTATGATACCAATATAGTGGTTATATTTTTTTCAAAAAAGCCTTTATCAATTAGAGGTCATGCCAGGATATTGGCAGCGAAATAATTTATGTATAGAATCTGCTTTTAAATATTCCAACATTTTTTTAAGTGGCAGGGTAAACATATAATACAATGGGCAAAATGTCAAAAACTGTTGAAGCTGACAGGTATATGAGACTTCATCATTCCATCTTTTCCACTTTTAGTATAGTTTTAATTTTTCATATTAATAAGGTTAGGGGACAACAAAAAACTGCAAAGCTGAGAGGAAAATAAAAGTAAAAGAAAAGGGGCCCAAAGCTTACAAGAGAGATCAGGGATAAAGACTGCTGTGGAAGTCATCAGAAGATAGGTAAAACATGAAGCCAAGTCTTTGGAGAATATCATATAAGGAGAGAGTAGAAACTAAGTCAAAAGAGATCAGAGAAGTGAAGCCAGAGGAATCTGAGAAAGATACCAAAAAGTGGACTGTCAGTGATGAAGGAGGAAACCTAAGAGAAAAACTGAATCAGGGAAATCAAGACAAGAAAGATTCCAAATAATAATAACCACCAAGTACTCTTAGAGACCCTAAATTTCAAATAAAATAGGAAAAATTATGTTTTTTAACAAAAGAATTTCAGAATGATAAGGGAAATAATTATCTTCATATTTTCTAAGATACACAATTTCCCAGATACTGAACAAGATGTTCAAGAAAATTAAAAGTCATTACGCACTGGCACCAAGTTGCCACCTCACTAGTCTGCCATAGTGGAAGACAAAATACCAAGTGCAAGAACAGCTATAAAAAATAAATATGATATTGACATTAGCCATAAAGAGTTTTTTAAACTATTAACTCCCTGAAGGTAAAACAATGAGCCAGCCCTATTTCTACCCATATGCCCAGATTCTAGCATGGTTCCAGGCTGCATGTTTCTATATTGCTAGAGTCCCAACGGGGTGCAAAAGGTATGGAAGGGACAGTTGACATTGATGATGCTCAATATTGTTGGCGTTTTGAGCCATAATTATATATTAGACCAATATGGTAATCCCTAATCCCTTTCTGATTGCAAGGATAAACAACAGAGCTTTTCATTTCATACTCAGAGCTCGAATAACGTATTCCCAAACGTATACCTTTGCATTGCTGCTCTCACAAAAAACTGGATCTTTTTATAGTTGATCCCTAGTACTTTGAAGAATTTACTGTTAACCACAGCCTTGAATACGTCACTTTCAAATAATTTATTAACAAATTACATATAATACAAAATGCAAAAGCATATATATTTTAAGCTACTATTACTTCAATCTTCTATTATTTACTCTCTTGATTTGCAATACAGTGAAGTTAAAGACATATTTTTCTTTGCAGGGCAAAGTCCCACCTAACATGAATCTCAGTTCTTACATCATTAACAGCCCATATCATTTTAATCAATAAATAGTTCAGATAAGTCTTTTTGTTATTCACAGATCAAACACAGAAAAAGGAAAAATTCCCCATCTCTCTGCAGCACACGTATTTTTTATTATTTCCAGGTATATTCCAAAATTCTAAAAAGTGTAAAAAACTTCTCATCTCATGAGTTTTGAAGCTCTTGTTTGACCCTTTTTGACTTTTATCTAACTCAGGATCAAAGAGCATGATTCTAAAATCTCTTAGAATCAGAAATTAAAAGTTAAAAACTTACATTCAAGCTGTGCAACCACATCTCCAGGGTCTACTGCTTCAGGGAACACCTATAGTGAGAGAGGCAGAGGGAGGCAGGATAGAGAAGAGAACGTAAATGGAAGACATATATGAAATAGTTTTTGTGTTTTCCTTCTCATTCCCAAAATATTCCTTTCCCAACCAAAGAAACTTCTGACATTATTGAGAACTGTCATTTCCTCTCTGCTTCCCATGATCACTATACAAGATTTTACCAACAAACAAAAATTACATCTGGCTCTGCCTCCCTCTCCAATTTGATCTGCTAGCAGTCCTCCCTTTGTTACCACGGTCATACTTGCCTTCTTGGTGTTCCTCCAGCTCATCAAGCTTATTCCCAACAAGACACCTTTATATTTTCTGTTCCTCTGCTTAGAATGCTTTTACCCTAGACCTTTAAATAACTGATACTGTCTCATAATTCAGGCTCAGTTTCAATGTTATTGCCTTCTCTGACCACCCTTTAAAATAAACAATCTCCCTAATCCTTCTGTCCCCTTACCCTCCCTTTATTCTCTTCATGACACTTACTATTTACTTGATTATTGTCTGTTTTACCTATTACAATGAAAGCTCCAAGAGGGGAGCATGTTTGTTTTTTTTACCCAGTGCCTAGAACAGTGCATGGAACAGACCAGGTACTCAGTAATTATCTGTGGAGAAGAGGAAGGAGAAAAAGGAAGGAAGGAGGGAAGGAAGTAAGGAAAGAGGGAAGTAGACAAGGAAAGAAGGAAAGAAAAAAGTGAGAAATACAATTGGTAATAATTACCCAAAAGCACTAGATTCAGGGGGAAAAAAGAAAAAAGACTTATAGAAAGAAGCACCACATGACAGCCATAAGCAAAATATGACCTATTCTTACCTACTAATATCTCCCCCATCTCTTTTATGAAAATGATTACTTAGAATTCAAGGTGCTATATTTTACATAAAGACCACTAAGACAATTTTAGAAGTAAACTGATCCATCATGAAAAAGAGGCAACTGATTCAATGTATAATATAATGCATATTTATTTTCAAGCTTCCAGATTTAAGTTACAAATCTCCTTTTGAATTAAATCAAAGTGCATAGTCAACAATAGTAATATGTGTTATTCAAAATTTGGAACCACTTTGATTTTTTATTGGTTAACATTTGATTGGATATTTGAACTCACCTTTTCAAACACCATTCTGGCATTGAAGACCAGTGGAAAATTGGCTGGGACACATTGTGTCTTTTTGTATTGGCCAAACACACAGATGCTAAGATAGATGTCCTCCTTGTCTTTCAGCACCACTCCTGGGCAAGTTACCTGAAAGAAATTAGACAGATGAATGTGACTGCTTCATGAATTCCCTGAACTACTGTACTAAAATAAGTTACCAAACATTACATAAAAACACTAGTCTGCTAAGCTAATAAAAATATGCACAAGTTAAAAAAAAAAAGAGAGATTCTAGTATTTACAGAGTTAAATGAAATGCCTTTATAACTTCCATCCCTCTGAGAAATCTATGATTTTCCACTTGGTTATTTGTGCTCTATGTACTGGCTCTTGGGACAGACACTAATAGTTTTAAACAGTAAGCCTCAGGCTCCCACTTTATGTAGAATGCTGACATAAACTTATTCAGCATCATTTAATCACAAAGGATTAAGACTCAGCAGAAATAAAGCACAATACTAGAGGACAAAAAACATACCAAAAAAAGCACAAATCTGACCTGTATCACCCTAAGTCGCAGCCCATACACACCCTCATCAAAAGAAATATGACAAACTTTCAAAGCAAGTGAACTGTAAGTTTCTAGCCCAATGAAATATTTTTTAAATATAAAACTGCACTTAACTATTCTCAGGACTGACACAAGGTATAGGCATAAGATGTAGGGTTTCTAAAAAATACATAGCACAGTCTCTCCAGTTCCTGCCATATTTCATTGTCAGTGATCAACCATACCCTTAATAGGCTATTGAAGATTCTCCAAGATTTGAATCCAACTTATCATACAGCAATATTACTTGACACCTCCTAAAAGTACAATCAAAGTACATTTGTTATTGTTTACTGAACACACACATTACTTTCTTGCCTCGCATTCTTCCGTTATCTGGATTACTACTCATTTCTACTCCATGCCGTCTCCTCCTCATCTACTTCTACCTCCCAAGGCTTACATTAACTGCCATCCCGTACACAAAACTTCTCTTGATTCACCAACTATCACTATTCAATTCAATCTAATTCAAACATTTATTGTGAATTTATTATATTCAAGTAAATAGTTTTAAATTCTCACAGCATTTTACAGTTCTCTTAAGGCCCTAATTATTGTCTCTATGCATTTTAATGAAGTGGGTACACCTCACCTATTTTATTTCATTATAAATTCCTGAGAACAGAAATTCTAGTTTCCTCATCAATGTATCCAAAAACACAGACTTTCCATATTAAAAAGCAGCTTAGAAATTATCTAGTACACCTTCGAATTTTTTATATAGGGAAACAATAGAGCCCCAATAAAGTGAAGGTCATTTACTTACTTAAAGTCACACAATAAATGAGTCAATACAATACATTCAAAGTACTTAGAACAGTGCCTGACAGTGCATTAAATAAATACTACTGGGCTTCCCTGGTGACATAGAGGTTAAGAATCCACCTGCCAATGAAGGGGATATGGGTTCGGGCCCTGGTCCAGGAAGATCCCACATGCCGCAGAGCAACTAAGCCCGTGCACCACAACTACTGAAGCCTGCAAGCCTAGAGCCTGTGCTCTGCAACAAGAGAGACCACTGCAGTGAGAAGCCCGTGCACCACAAAGAGGAGTAGGGCGCACTCGCCACAACTAGAGAAAGTCCACGCACAGCAACAAAGACCTAACGTAGCCAAAAATAAATAAATAAATAAATATAAATGTATTAAAAAATAAAATAAAAAATAAATACTAGCTATAGTTATTATTAGAATGAAAACCACTATCATCTACCATCTTAATATAGACTATTGCACTGAATAAATAACTAAGACTTCATGTCCCTCTGTATACAGCAGTTAAGATTATTTTCTATGCTAGCTATTTTGGCTCCATCTACCCCTTATTCTATTTTCTACTTTTGTCCTACTAATTCACTATGGATTATTAAAATCAAGGCCCTCAGAAATCTCATTCTGTCCATCAGCTTCATTTTCTACTCTGCCTCATTTAAACCAAACCTGTTAGAGTCCCTAAGTCTGTGTTATGCCTACAGATGTGGCTGGTCCAAATTGAGATGGACAGTTAATGTAAAATACAAGATTTTGAAGATTTTTGAAGACTTGTTCAAAAATATTTTAAAGAATGTTTACAAAAAAAGTGTAAAAAACTCATTAACAACTTTACATTAATTACATGTTGAAAGGATAATACTTATACTGACTTAAATAAAATTACTGTTAAAATTAATTTTATCACTTCTTTTAATTATTTAAGGTAGCTAGGGGAAATTTTTAAATTATATCCTTGGTTCAAATTATACTTCTATTGGACAGCACAGCTCTAACTGTCCTCACTGGAAAATACTGAGTCTCTTTCCAATTTGTAGTATATTTAAGAAGACATGACATTTTTCCTTATCCACAGTTCTATAAATTCTGCCATTCTTTAAAGGAATACCATGGAAAGTTCCAAAAAGAAGGCATCAAAAGAGGGGTTAAAGAAAATCCGACGGAACAAATATAAAATAAATAGCAAACTGGCTGGCTTAAACCAATCATATAGATAATTACATGAATGTAAATATCTTAAGTATTGTAACTAGAAGGCAGAAATTATTAGACTGGATAAAAAAGCAAAACACAATATGCTAGTCTGCAAAAACACAATTTTAAAGATTATGACATACATAGAAAAAGTATTTTCATAATAGTAGAGTAAATATCTCCAAAATCAGCCCCTCCACAGAGAAGCTGAATAGACATTTTTCCAAAGAAGATATACAGATGGCCAACAGGCACATGAAAAGATGTTCAACATCACTAACTGTCAGGGAAATGCAAATCAAGACGACAATGAGATACCAACTCACACTTGACAGAATGGTTATTACCAAAAAGACAAGAAACAACAAGTGTTGGTGAAGATATGGAAAAAAGGGAACTCTCACGCACTGTTGGTGGGAATGTCAACTGGTGCAGCCATTATGGAAAACAGTATATCGAAGGTTCCTCAAAGAACTAAAAAAGAACCACTTATAGGATCCAGCAATTCCACTCCTGGGTATTTATCTGAAAAAAAAGAAAATACTAATTTGAAAAGGTATATGGGGACTTCCCTGGTGGCACAGTGGTTAAGAATCTTCCTGCCAATGCAGGTGACATGGGTTCGAGCCCTGGTCCAGGAAGATCCCACATGCCATGGAGCAACTAAGCCCGTGTGCCACAACTACTGAGCCTGTGCTCTGGAGCCTGCGAGCCACAACTACTGAGCCCACGTGCCACAACTACTGAAGCCTGAGTGCCTAGAGCCCATGCTCCACAACAAGAAAAGCCACTGCAATGAGAAACCTGTGCACCACAACAAAGAGTAGCCCCCCCGCATCATAACTAGAGAAAGCCCATTCACAGCAACGAAGACCCAACGCAGCCACAAATAAATAAACATAAATAAATAAATAAATATTTTTAAAAAAGAAAAGATATATGTACCATGTTCATTGAAGCACTATTTACAATAGCAAGATATGAAAGCAACCTAAATATCCATCAATAGATGAATGCATAAAGAAGGTGTGATACACACAAATAGCCCCCCCACATACACACAGGGATATTACTCAGCCATAAAAAAGAATACAATATTGCCATTTGCAACAATATGGATGCACCTAGAGGGTATTATGCTAAGTGAAATAAGTCAGATACAGAAGGAAAAATACCATAAAAAAAACAAAACAAATGAACAAAACAGAGACACATAGATACAGAAATAAACTGGTGGTTGCCAGAGGGGAGGCAGGGGTGGGGGGACTGCCAAAGTGGGTGAAGGGGATTAAGAGGTACAAACTTCTAGCTATTAAGTAAATAAGTAATGGAATTAATGTACAGCATAGGGAATATAGTCAATAATATTATAATAACTGAATATGGTGACAGACGGTAACTAGACTTATCCTGGTGATCATTTCATAATGTATAAAAATATTGAATCACTATGTTATACACCAGAAACTAATATAATATTGTATGTCAATTATAATTAAAAAATTACTGTAACAAATGGTGAATATTTACTATGAGCCCTAAGTTAGACACTATTGTTGTATAAATGCTAAATGTATTGTGTGGGGGAATTGTATTAAATTTATATAGGAGAATGTCCTTGTTCTTAGGAGATTTACCCTAAAATATTTAGCGGTAAAGTGTCTGAATGTAAGCAACTTCAAATGTTTCATCAATATATTTTTATGCCTATATCTCTACTCGTATCATAGAGAGAGCTAAATAAATCAGATGTGAAACAAACAAAAAGTCAGCCCTCTGTAAAAGCAATGAGAACACCAACAAAAACTGTCAAAATCAACTTTTTAGAGGTCTAGAAATTAACTAGAAGTTTGCAACAATCTGAGGAGCACTTATTCAAGAAAAATAGCTGAATTTTGGTAAAAACAGTGATATTGTGGTATTTTAACATACTTTATTCCCAATCTCCTCTACTCAGGTCTGCTATAGCCTTGACAACCAAGACCCTTACAATCGTGGTAGCCATAAAAACTAGCAGCCCTACAGCCACTGTAGGAAATCAGGTATAAACCTACCCAAAAGCCCTACGCCTAAGGAATTGTCAACCCCCATTCACAGGGCTTCTCTTTATTTGATTTGAATCAGAGCTTAGTCACAACAAACATCCTATACCTGCAAGGCATTTGTCAGAAAAAAAAAAAGCAGCTATTATTTAACATCATGGATGCTTGAGGCAGTGCCAGTTGGAGCAAACAATAAGTGACCAAAACACTTAAAAGGCAGAGCTGGAGCTCTGTGTGTGTGTGTGTGTGTGTGTGTGTGTGTGTGTGTGTGTGTGTGTGTGTGTGAGTGTTGGGGGGCTGTCTTTGACAAGCTATGATACATTCTTGGCAATTTAGAAGGTCATGCACATGTGCAGGGCTACGAGCATACCCAGAAATTACTTAAGGAAGCCCTAATCTCTCACCTCTGGTTGATCTTGAGGCTTTGAAAACGTTGGAAGTGAAGACTAAGACAGAGTTGTACATTACCTGCAAGGCATAGAAAGCATGTCCCAACATACTCAGCAATAGAGATACTCAGCAAAGACT